CAAACTACAAATATATTGCTAGAGGAAATAGTTTTTTCCTTAAGTGAACAAACAATAAATATTTATTCAATGAAAGATTTGTTCCTACATATTCCACTTTGAGCAAAATGCTAAACAGTATATTAAAGAAACATATATGCACTTAAGGTATTTTGTTATAATTAACTTGAAAGATAAACTCTATATTATGCTTTAATATCAGTAAGCCACCAAATAATTATAACATTTAAAATCATCTATCAATACATTAGTTTCTCAATCTGTGTCATTTCTAAATATAGAAGGGAAATTATTTAAAGTTATACATTTGGTTTAAAATATTAAAAGAAACACATATAATTTTTAAAATAGAGCAATAAAGATATTCTGTCAACATAAAAATGCAGCATCCATTACTCATTTTGTGTTAAAGAAAACTATACTTAAATTGTCAGTTAATTACCAAGCCTGATGGGTAAAATATACTCAACACCCATTCAAAATATAATCTATCATTTGCATATTACAGCATAATAGAGCAGTAGTGATGTCCTCAGTAAAAACAGGTGGTCATAGGAACAAGTAATTATAACAGTCACTACAAAAATACCCCTAAACTAAACCTTACATAACTGCTTAACAAGTTGTGAGCATCTCGAAGAAATAAGGCAACAAATCCCAAAACCAGGAAGATAGCCCACAGACAACTCTAAACAACAAGCATTTAAAAAAAAAAAAAGTTTTCTATACAGTCTCTTAAGTTAGATAAGCCTTACACATACTGCTGGACTTCTCTGAGACCCTATGTAACAAGGATATTATATTGTAAGCAGGTTTTCTGTTGACTTTTAGGAATATATGACTAATCATAGACCCTTCACATGATAATACAAATACTCAAGGCCAGACATAATCGTTTTCAAAGTCTCCTACAATATAGTGATGTTTGTAATGATGACCCTAAGGCACATGAGATCCTGAACTACCCTCTAAATTACCAAAGACTGAATTATTTTCAGCTTAATTTTAAGAGTGTAATTCTTATTGCAATGAACTGAAATTCACAAGGCTTGGTTTTAAGTCTTAATCTATTTATTAATTATGCCTAAGCACTGCTTGTGGAGGTCATTTCAATGAAAACAAGTAGTTCTTTCTCTTTGGTTAACACCCTCAGTTCATACTTGATTCAAACATTATTGGTTTGAGTGGATTTTCTGTGTTTTTATAAAAGAAGTAGGATGGTTTGGTGAAAACAGCAATGAAGGGGCAGCTGGGTGGCACAGTGGATAGAGCACCGGCCCTAAAGTCAGGAGGACCTGAGTTCAAATCGGGCCTCATACCAAACACTTGACACTTACTAGCTGTGTGACCCTGGGCAAGTCACTTAACCCCAATTGCCTTTAAAAAAAAAAAAGGAAGAAAAGAAAAAAAAGAAAAGAAAACAGCAATGAATTTGGAGTCCCAAGAAGAGCAAAGCCTTTCTATGCCTATCATTCAAAAACTCTGACCCTAAGTGAATCACATAACCTCTTGGACCTTCTAAATCTGTAAAAGAATGATAATAAAGTGTATAGTACCTATATGTCAAAGTGTTATAAAATTAAAAAAAGGTTTTTTTAATAACTTAAATTGTTACATAAATGTGAGCTGTTATTCACTGAGATCATCATCCATCTATTTTGCCTCTTGTTACCTGCTTGGGCAGCTAGGTGACACAGTGAATGGAGTGCAGGGTCTGGAGGCAGGAAGACCTGACTTCAAATCTGGCCTCAGACGCTTACTAACTTATGTGACCCAAAACAAGTCAATCAACCCTGTTTACCTCAGTCTCCTCATCTGTAAAATGAGCTAGAGAAAGAAATAGCAAACCACTCCAGCATCTTTGCCAAGAAAACCCCAAATGAGGTCATGAAGAGTCAGATGTGACTGAACAACAACAAGGTTACCTGCTTTCAGGGTTATCACTTTCTTTATCCCATAAATTTATTTTCCTATTAGCTTCTAATGTTCACATGGACTATTTGTGCCTGACTGTAGTAGAGCCTTTTGAGCTGGTATTGGTCTGATCAGTCACAGTCAGACACACTGTACCTTGACCCCTAACATAGTGATGTCATTATAGTCCTCTCAGAGAACGAAGGACAACAATCAATCAACCCTTGGATCCAATCCATCTGCCATATCTAGCAGATTGCCCCAACTTTCATCGCTTGCTACCCCCCTCTCTCTAATCTTCAATCTCTTTATCTACTGATTCCTTCCTTGGTATCTAGAAAGATACTGAAGCCTCGCTCATCCTTAAACACCAATGACCCTCATTACACACTTCCACGTCCACTAGTTCTCATACTGTATTTCTCCTAACTTCCTCATGCAAGCTTCTAGAAATAGCCATCTAATGTCTCTCCACTTCTCCTCTATCTCACCTCTAAACCTACTGTAATCTGGCTTCTCACCTCATCACACAGTTAAAAACACTCCCTCCAAAGTTACCAGTAATCTCTTAATTGACAAACCTCGGGGGAGCCTTTTCTTAATCCTCATCCTTCTTGACCTCTCAGGAGCACAAAACCTGTAGACCTCAATCTCTTCCCGGATGTTTTCTCCTATGTGGGTTTTTGTGACTCTGTTCTCTTGGTTTTCCTTCTACATGTCTAAGAATTAACACTGAACCAGAACCATTTAATGAAGACAATCAAAAGGAGTGATTACTTAACAAAATAAAAATGTAAGATTACTTTTAGAACGTTAATACTTAAAAAACAACTGAAGCAGTTGTTTGTTTATATGCCACTACATGATGAATGACATTGCCAGAAGCAACAGTGTGTTGATGAGGAAGTGCTTGCCTTTAAAAAAAACAAAAACAAAAACAAACGATGAAGAAACTTGAAAGGTTAAAAACAGCCACTTCATGTGCCAAATGACAATATCTAATGATCAATAAAACTATTCACCAATATAAGCCTTGGCAAAAGCATTTTCATTAATGGTTTTTATGAGGCACACAACTCAAATGCCAAAGAACATGAAATGACTGACATCACTCTGCTACCTATCTAGTAACCCAAGCAACTCTTTCCATTCTGTGCTTCCGAAACTTCACACATGGCCATAAGGAGGAAAAAAGAACAGGAATAATTTAGATGTGACCTCCAATGGAATTTTATTTTCTCTGAACTAAGTATGAGAATAATAAAGAAAACCTCTTCTGTATTTGGCATTACAAGTGGCAATAGCGTACATCTAAGTACAGCCATTCCTTACCAAAAGGAGACAGAAGTTGCTATCTGTCTTTCTTACAGGATCAATTAGTTGATCCAACAAATTTTTATTTAGTGACTGCTATGGGGTAAAGCACTAAGCTAGGTGCTATGGTGGACACAAGAAAAGAACAATATGGTTTCTAACTTACAAATCTACCATAGATCTCTATGCCCCACAAGGCCCTGCCCTTTACTTTGGTCCTCTAGACAATTTCAATCCAAGCTGGACCAGCTGTGCATGCCCCCTTCACTAGCATAAAATCCCTTCCACCACCTTTCAATTTATTCCACCAGTCAACACTGGAATTCTAAGGTGCCAAGTTGAGTTAAGCAGGACAGTTTTAAACTGTCTGGATCAGTGTACATATATTAGCAGAGGAGCATGAGAATTGCCACGTAAAGATCTATTTTACAAAATATAAATTAAGTAACTGCAATAGCAGACTGACCTCCAATTTACAGCGTAAACACATGAAACCAATAGCTCTGGCTTATCAAAAAACTACAGAATGTCAGAGTTAGAAAATTCCCTAGAAGTTCTCCAGATTAACCCCTAGCCGTGTGAATCCACTCTAAACAACTCAGAAAGTCAGTCATCTGAACACTGCTCTAGGGACAGGAATTTACCACCTCAAGAGGTGACATTCCATTCCTGGATATCTGTTATTAGTAAAAGTAGATGGAGATACAGAGGATCTTGGAATATAATTCCATGGAATCCTGGAGTTTTAAGGGATCTGAAAAGTCAGGATCAGAGAGGATGAGAACTTCAGATCATGAAAGAACCTAAGACGCAACTTGGTCCAGGGGCTTGTAAATTTTTTTTTATGTTATGGACCATTTTGGCCACTTGTAGACCCCCTTGTCAGAATAATGTTTTAAAACAAATAAAATTTTTAAAAAACGAGGTTACAAAGCAAATCAATTATATTAAAATCTAATTATCCAAAACAAAAAAAAAGTTCACAGATCAAAGCTTAAGAACCCCAGATCTAGTCTAAGATTTTACAGATCTCTCTGACCCTCTGATAAGTAAGTTGCCCGAGAGATCACAGAGATGAAATCTGAACCCAGTTCTTCTGACTCAAACTGCAGCAGTCCACATGGCCTCCCATCACTTACTGATAAACCCCCTCGACAACATCCAGTTTCTTTATGAATAGCCTCCCTGAACAGGAGCATCAGATTCACTGCACCAAGAGTCAGCTCATTCCATTTTCAGACAGCTGTAATTTTCGAATAGTTAGTTCTTCCTTCTACTAGCTCTTGTAACTTGGAAGAGACCTCGGAAACCTTCTAGTCCAGCCTACTAGGCTTCCATTTCATAGTAAATTTACATGTGACCCTTCCTTTAAGTGACCTCAACTTTATTTTGTAGCACTCATTAAAATATGACAACTATCAGACAGTTAATGCTCCCCTTGCTCATTCATTTGTCAGATTGTGTGAGGAGAGTGCTTTTCTAGTTCTGCCGTATCCTTATGGTGTAGCCTAGGTAAGACTTAAATCTCTTGGGCCTCAGTTTCTCTGCCTCGTTGCGATCTACCACACAATGACATCAAAATAAATATGAACATGGCACCCGAGGGAGGAACAATCATCTTTTGTCTGTTGTCATGACCATGTTATTTGCATTCTTTTCAATTTCACATAACTTGAAAATGTTCAAAGTCATCAGGGAAAAAAGACTTTACAAAATTAGTCATTATATCAAATATAACATATACCCAAGTTGATTATCGCCATGAAGCTTACCTGCTGTGTTTGGTACCTTTGCTGGGACTGTGTTGACAGATATTGTGCCTGGGGTGGTAGGTGCTGAGGCTGCGGTTGCTGGTTGTAATATGGTTGTTGGCCCTGCTGGCAGTAACCACTTACACCTTGCTGACCATACTGAGGCGGCATCTGTTGGAAGAATTGGACAAAGCAAGCATGTGAATCAAGTAACATTATTAAGTGAAACCAAACATAAGTCTCCATTAAGAAAGCAAAGTTAAACAAGAGCAGGTTTCATCCTTTATCCAGTATTTTTAATCCTCTTATTCATTAGGTAAGAATTGATACACTGACATGAATGTGTCGAGTATCAATAATAGTCCTAATACAGCCTGACTTCACTCTGATGAACAGTTATATCTAGCAGAAATCAAGCATTGAAAATCTAATAAAAATCTAGTCCAACAAAGTACAAAACTCCATAATACTGACTTCAAAAATAATTTAAAAGGCTCAGCTACTGTCTTTTAAGCATAAAATTAACCTACAGAGAAATTTCAGCAGAAGGAGAACAAAGTAGAAGCATTGTGGTAAAACCATTTTAATGCAAGATTTCAAATACAAGTGAATCTTACCAAGCCAAAGCTAAATAATTCACTGGTATCTATACTTTACATAATGCAAGAATACCAAAGTAGATGGCATGGCACACATGTCTGTGGCATGCATGTGCATGTGCTTCAACCTCAAGATAAAGATGTTGCACTATTATATTTCTTAAAATAAAAACATTACACTAAAATCCCTTCCATTAATTATTTTCTCCATAACAATGAATGCATTTCCTCTGAAACAGAGGACTTTTATAAAACTGTAGTATTGTATATGCATACAACAAACAATAGAAGTACAAAATAAAACCATGAAAGTGGCAATCAATTTAGCATTTATTAAATGCCTACTACATGTAGGGCACGATGGTAGGCTTTCAGGAGTATAATAACAAAAAATGAAACAGTACTTGGTTTCTAAAATCTTATATTTCTATCAGGGTAGATACAGATTATAAATGTGTATATATGGATGTAAACATAAAATAAATACAATGTAGTTTAGGGAGGAAGAGGGTTACCTCCAGTAAGTGGTTGGAGGATCCATACAAGCTAGTAGTACCTAAGCAGAGTCTTGTAGAAAATATGAGAATCTGTGAAGCAGACGATGGTAAAGAGAACATTCTAAGACTGGGAGGGACAGCAGTGGGCCAGGACAAAGACAGAAGGATGAGAAAAAGAATGGTATGTGAAAGAATGCCAGTTTGGCTAGGAGAGTACAGGAAAAGAGTAATAAATGTACAGGAAGGGTCCAAAGACTTCTCTGGACACTGGGACCAGAATGGGAAGGGATAATAGTTGCTATTTTCTCCTAGAGGAAATGAGGAGCTACTAGACTGACTTAGTAGGACATGATTAGGCGAATCATTTTGGCAGCTTTTTGCGGGATGGAATGGAATGAAAACTCTGAGGCAGAAAACTATTGCAGTAGTTCAGGCAAAAGTTAATGAGGGTCAGAACTAAGACACTGGCCATGTGAGTAATGAGAAGGGAGCAAGAGATGTTTGGAAACAGCAGAATTTGGCAGGGGTGAGTAAGAATGAAGAGTCGAAGATAGCACCGAGGTGGCAAATCTTGAATACTCAATGGTTGCTGATGCCCTCAACAGAAACAGAAAACTCCAGAAGAGAGGCATATGGGGGGAAGGGTGTTAGAACACGAGTTCTGTTTTTGATATGTTTGAAACGTCCACAGGCAATTGGTGATGCAGAGCTAAAGCACTCAGGGGAGAGACTGGGGCTAGATACCTAGATTGAGACTCATCTATGGCAAAATGGGAACTCGTAGGATTGGGTGAGATCAATAACAGAAGGAGTATAAAGAGTAAAGAATAAGTAAAGAGAACTAGGAGAGATAAGTGTTGAAAAAGGAGTCAATATACAGGAGAAGAGTCAACCCTGTCAAATGCAGCAGAAAGATCAAGGTATAAGGACTGAGAAAAGACCATCAGACTGGACAATTAAGAGATTGTTGGTCATTTTAGAGAGGACCGTTTCAACTGAATGGTAAGGTCAGAAACCAAACTGTAAAGTAAAGGTCAGAAACCAATTGTAAAGAAGAGGTAAGTAAAGGCAACCAGCACCTTTGTCTAGGAGTCTGGCTGATATAGGAAACAAAAAAAATAGCTCGAAGGAATAGCATATTCTAGTAAGGGGGGGGGGTTGTTTTTGTTTTTTATTTTTAAGTATGTCAGAGGCTTGGCCATGATTGTAGCAGCAAGCTGAGAACCAGTAGATGGGGAGAGATGAGAGAGAGATGAGAAAGCAGGGAAGAAGCAAGGGACGGAGGGAAAAATACTGAGAGAGCAAACTGCTAGAAAAGACAAAAAAAAATTCATTATAACTGTCTATCTCATTTATATGAAATGCTAAAGGAAAAAGAAAGAAAACATGCTAGATACTAGAAATACTAGAATAGTGTGTGTTCAATGAGAGTCAATCATGTCTAGAAAAATGCATGGTCCTTCAATTCAAAACTAAAAGGAACCAGATGACCACAATAAATCTTCCCCATTGCTAATTCGTTGAGAACAAGAATGCTTGAATTTATCGGTCAAAGAAGTATGAAAATTAGCTATTAAGCAATAAAATATAATACCTGCAACTGTTTTTATTTTTAACTGAAAGAAATTCATGTGAATTTTGTAATGATCAACATGTATGTACTTTAAATAAAGAGTGGGAGAAAAAGAGAAAATAAATGGACACAAAAGTTATTCCAGACAAGAGAATGGTGAAGTAATTTTGTTAGTATTATAATATGGCCCCCATCAGGAACCTGAAGAACACGTACACTGAAGAAAGTAATAATAAATACCAGATACGAACTTAAAATGTATTTTGGTACAAAATGGGCAAGGAGAAAATGAAGTAGAAGAGTAAAACAAAAAATACTAACATAATTCGAAACAAGTAGAAAAAGGGTAAAAGGGGAAATGTGGGGAAGGGAAGTACATTTATATCCCTCAAGACTGGATCTAGAGTAAAGCATTCACAAAACTGCCAAGACCGATCACAAATAATTCAGTTGCAATCAGTAAAAAATGACTCACCAAAGCCTTTTGCTGCACAAAGCCAACATTAGTTGAGCAGATAAGTTCATACTGAAAAACCACTTCACGGCACTGCTGAGTTCTCTGCTTTTATTTATTTTACAGCTTGATATCTCATAATGAATGTATGTCCCTACCATGAGCCTAGCCAAAGAATTTCCATAAAACACAACTCCACATGCTAGCTAGAGTTCTGAATACCGCCACAACACATATCCTTCCTGTTCAACACCCATATGTTTTGATTTGATATCTAATACTATATTTCACACGCATCTTTGCAGTTTCATTTGAAGCAGTTAGGATAACACTTTTACCAGTGTTAAAAAGACTGTAAAGCTCAGTGAACAGAGCCAGCAAATCCCCTATGAATTATGCTTTAACATGTTGACTTTTCAGTTTGTATGAATACACACAAACAATATGGAAGGATCATCTTGGGCAAAAAGCCTTCTGTTTTATATACAAACACAGCAAATTATAGAAGTAACCCATGAGCATCGTGGCAACAACATAATCCAATAATGTTTAATTCAACTTTTGTTAAATGCCTCCTATGTTCAAGACACTCTACTGGAAATTAGGGGTACAAAGACAAAACTGAAATGGCCTTTGTCATCAAAGTCATTGGAGAACTCAATGTGCCCAAAGATGTGTAAATTTTTAAAAGCTAACATGAGGAAGGAGTGAATACTGACAACTAGAAAGATGAGCCAAAGTTGACTCCTTGGAGGAAGCAGAGGATTCTAAAAGACAGAGGTGAGGTGGAAACACATTCCAGGCCTAGAAGGGCAATTTGTGTAAAGTCATGGAGGCTGGAGATGAGATGGCGTGACTCGAGGGAAACAGCTAGTAAGACAAATGTCTCAAATGTAGACTGCATGAAAGGCAGCAATATGAAATTAAGTCTATAAAGGTAACTTGCAGCCAGAATGTAGAAGACTTTAAATGCCAGGCTGAGGCATTTATGTTTTAAGAGGAAAGAAGAAGCTTACTGATGAGTTCTGAGCAAGAAAGTGTGACATGGATAGGCCTCTGATTCAGAAAAATTTTGGCAGCTCAACTACTATGCACCAGATAGAGCTAATAAAGCAAGGATGGTAGTACAATTGAGTCACAGAGGCAGCACCCTGGTCAATAGAAACGAGGAGCGCACCAGCATTTTTTTTTCTATACTAAGGTTGCCTAGAGATATCACATAAAAACAGATGGACTTGATCTCATCATACAGTCTATGCAGAAGATAACAGTCCTTATGACACAGAATATCATAATGATGAGTAGGAGCGGGGTGGAGAAGGGAATGAAATGCCCCTGAATTTCTTTCTTTTTGCAAAGCAAATTTTTTTTTTCTCTTGAGTAGGGGAAATAGAAAATTAATTTCTGTGTAGATGAGGTATTACTATAATTAAGATGCTACAATGTCATATTAAGAATGGATTTAGCTAGTGACAAAATAATGTGTAAAATACATTAAATGCAACAAACATTTATATAGGTGTGTGAATATGTGTGGGTGTGGATTTATATGTGAGGCTACACACACACACACACACACACACACACAAAGAGTGTGGTATAGTGGACAGAGAGGCCATTATTGCTAAAGTTGGGACTGGAGTCAGAAGACTTGAATTTAAGAATCTAACCTCTGACACAAAGCTGTGTTCATCTGGGCAAGATATTTAACTTCTCACCGTCCCAGTCAACTATCTTTATTGAGCAAAGGGAGCTAATCTGCATTAGTAGAGGAGTCTTCTCACAAGAAATTGACAGTGAAATCATTTAAATGAGGGGCAGAGTGCCAACCATGTATACATACAAAAGTCAGATATTTCCTTACCAATTTTATTCACTATTTTAATCCTCTTATGCATTAGTTAAAAACTGTTATACTGCCATGTATGTACAACAATAATTCCAAAATACCTAAAGTGTGCACCCATGTGCGGGGCGGTGAACACTCCCAACCCAACTTAATCCAATAATTAAACTGCTCCAGCTCAGAGCAGGACTGAGCCTTTGGC